CTATCTATCTATCTATCTATAATCTGACTATCTATCTATCTATCTATCTATATTGACAAAAATATTGTATGAGCCAAAAACTCATTACTAAACACCAATGACTTGTACATATGCGTACAATCATTTTAGACACTTACAAAAAAAAGGCACTTCCAAAACTCTGGCATCAAAGATGGAAACATAATTCATGTATTTAAAAATTGTATTTCCATCTTTTTTGCCACAGTTTTGGAAGTGTCTAAAATGATTGTTACGCATATGTACAAGTCATTGGTGTTTGGCGATGAGTTTTTTTTTGTTTTCCCAATACTTTGAGCAATATAGTGTATGTTTGGTGCGGTAGGGGGCCCAACCTCATATTCTTTCATAGGGCCCAAAATTGCTAGCGGCGCCCCTGTAAAGACAGACGAAAGTTTGGTGTGGCCCTGACGTTTACTGCCCAGTCTGACAAACCAATGAGAGCTGAATCTGATGTATAATTCAAGAGACATTCGGTTAATAGCATTTTAACAGAGCTCAATGTTTAGTTTATGCGCTGGAGTGTTGGGTTAATGGCTGGTTAGAGGGTTTAACTAGTTTGTGAACTCATGGCAGTTGTGTAATGTTGTTATAAGACGCTCCACGTGGGCTTTATGTCTGTTAAATGTATATTACAATGCACTATGTGCGTCAAATTCACTGTATCGTCGTTTATAGGAAACCATGAGGGTGAAGGAGAGTCTGACATCAGCAAAGTGGCAAATCAACTGGAGCAACAAACTTTAGAAGACCAAGAGAAAGATGATGAGCCAGAGGAAGGTTTGTCTGAAGTTAATTGCTAAAGTTCCCACTGCAAGTCCACGTGTATCTAAGTTCTGTTTTTGTATTGATTGTTATATGGTGAAATTTCTATTTTGGCAGATGGCGAGGAAGGAGATTCAACTGGAAAGAAAAAGAAAAAGAAGAAGAAAAAGAAAGGACGTAAGTGATTGTTTAAATTTCCCCTGCAGTCACTCATTTAAAGGATTAGTTCCTGATAATTTACTCGCCCCCATGTCATCCAAGATCTTCATGTCTTTCTGTCTTCAGTCACAAAGAAATTAAGGTTTTTGAGGAAAACATTCCAGGATTTTTCTCCATATAATAGACTTCAATGGGGATCAACGGGGTGAAGGTCCAAATTGCCGTTTCAGTGCAGCTTCAAAGGGCTCTACACCATCCCAGCCGAGGAATAAGGGTCTTATCTAGCGAAACCATCAGTCATTTTCTTTAAAAAAAAAAAAAAAAAACATTTATATACTTTTAACCACAAATGCACATCTTGCACTAGGTCCGCGACGCGCTTCCGCAAATTCATGGATTACGTAATCACGTTGGAAAGGTAGGGTTGGGCGAAAATCTCCCATCTCATTTTCTCCTCCAACCTCAAAATCGTCCGACATCGTTGTTTTATCTTTTTTTGTAAAGGGCGTTTGACTTTCTTTGCACGTTCGCTTTGTAAACACTGGGTCGGTACTTCCGCCTACGTCACGCGTGACCTTTCCAACATGATTACGTCACGCGTGAAGTCCAGCTAGTGCATGACGAGCATTTTGTGGTTAAAAAGTATATACATTTATTTTTATTTTTTTAGGAAATGACCGATGGTTTCGCTAGATAAGACCCTTATTCCTCGGCTGGGATCGTGTAGAGCCCTTTGAAGCTGCACTGAAACTGCAATTTGGACCTTCACCCCGTTGGTCCCCATTGAAGTCCATTATATGGAGAAAAATCCTGGGCCCTCATTTATCAACAGTGCGTAGAACAGGTTCTATATTTTGTCCTATGAATGAAATTTAGAATGTGCGTAAGTACAAGAAAATCCGTATTTATCAAACGTGCGCACGCAGTTCTTACGCACATGAGTAAGAAATCATTGTTGATAAATCCCACATGTGCGTAAGTTACCATGCTCGTTCACGGTCACGGTCATTTGCATTCGGAAACGCCTCCAATGAACCATATATGGTGACAACACCTCCCTTTATAAATCACGTGAATGTATGTGTCCTCACCGAAATCATGGCAAAGAAAGCGGTACCGACTGAGAAGCCATTCTGTGCTCTCACTCTCAGCGCGGTCTTTGAAAACGCATTCTATGCGGAGCGCATTGTTTGCCAAGTCTTCCAATAACACAAGATATTCCATTGCACTGAGACAAACATTTGTCACAGCTGTATTTTATAGGGTTTGACACCAATTACGCAAATTGTCTGTTTAAAACCAGACAAATGATAAATTGAGTGTTTTATAATTAAAGAAAACACAGGACATATGTGGATTGCTTAATGCATACTGTGACACAAATGCTTTTTATGTGTAGTGTCGCTATTCTACCACTAGATTCTCTGCGTAAGCATGCTCAGAGATGTGCTTATATTTACACACATTTCTACGTATAAGTACAAGTTGGTAGATCCCACACTTTGCGTGAAACTGTTCTTACGCACTCATTACGCACACATCTGTGCGTACGCACTGTTGAT